CAGGCCGTATCTGCGCTTTGTAGATCATGAGAAGCTGTTGAGGTGTAAAGTAGCTTTTCGCACCGAACAAGAAACCGAGTTTTTGTGAAGCAGCTTTTGCGATAGATCTGACATGATAATCCCATGAAAGAGTGTTGCTGATGGAAATACCGAGCATAGATACGGTGGGCTTGGTGGGGATGGTGGAGCCAGACATTACAATATCGGGCATACTGAGTTCCGCATTTCTAGAGAAAATGCAGGCTTGAGTTTTGGTGGCATTGAATTCGACTAGGTTGTTTGTTCCCCAGGCTGTGATTTCAGCAAGATCTTCATTGACAGCATTGACCTGCCTGCGCCGTGAGTTCCTAGTTTTCTGGGAAGAAATGGGAATTCTGGAAGAGAACGCAGTATGGAGGGTACTATCATCTGCAAAGCTGTGGATGGGGCAAGTTGTTACTCTCAACAGATCATTGATATGAATAATGTTGGTGCCAAAATTGATCCTTGTGGAACGCCGGAATTGATGCCAATGGTATCAGACGATACACCGTCCACCACCACGTGAAGCGATCTGCCTGAAAGAAAACTCGATACGAGATGGCATAGCTGAGGTGGTAAGCCGTATGATGGTAGTTTGTGGAGGAGTCCTTCGTGCCATACACGGTCGAATGCTTTCGATATGTCCAACGCGACAGCTAGAGATTCCCCGTGTTTTTCTATTGAAGATTGCCATAAATGGTTGACGTAGACAAGTAGATCTCCAGTAGATCTTCGGTGGCGAGAGCCGTATTGTCTATCATTGATGATTCCTGAGCTCTCCAGATATTTGATAAGCTCAATATTGATGGCTTTCTTCATCACTTTGGAGATTACTGATAACAGGGCAATGGGCCTGTAGTTGTTGGGCAGGTTCTTGTTCCCTTTTTTGGGGATTGGTTGGACTCTAGCTGTCTTCCAGCATGATGGAAAAATACCCGAACTGTACTAGATGGTAAACAACTTGCAGAGAATCGGTGTTAATTCTGGTAATCTATGTGATCGAGATGCATTTGTCAAGGTTCAAAAATAGACTATTATCATCACAGAATAATGAAAGGCGGTTCAAATATTCTTGTATTTTTTTGCACTCGCTTATAACCTTCACAGTGTGATGAAGTTTCAAGTCATCTGCATAATAATATAATAGAATTGAACAAAATTTGAAAGATTTGATTATTTCATTTATATAAATTATGAAGAACAATGGTCCTAAGTGACTGCCTTGGGGGGCCCCAGATGTTGCATCAAAGGAATCTGAATTGAATCCGTTGAGTGTTACCACCTGTGTCCTGCCAACCAAGTAAGACCAAATCCATCGCAATAGGAATGTGCTCACACCAACTTCAGCCAGTCTTTGTATCAAGATGTTGTGACTAATTTTATCGAAAGCCTTGCTGAAATTGGTGTTCACAGCATCCACCTGAACTTGATCGTCCATTGAGTCTAGCAAAAAGTTTGTGAAATCTATCAAATTCGTTTCTATCGATCTTAGAGGAAAGAATCCGTGTTGTTCTTGAATTATTATATCTTTTATCATGTGGTAAGTGAGAAAAATATTCGTGCAGATGTTTGACAGTAGCCTATGGGTAATCTCCTTAGGTGATACTTTGTTCTTTTTATTTCAATTCCATTTCTGCAAAAAGATGTGCTTGTTTAAAGATTTTGGTGAAATCATCTTCATTACGCAAAACTGAAGAGATTTGCTTCAGATTCAGAATTGACTTTCCTTAGAATTCAGGAGTTGAATAGCATTAAAAATTTGAATTTGGAGTAACAATAACATGATTATTTCATTATTGGAAATCCATTTTCAAGTTAGACTCTTCAGAATGAATAAACTGAATAAGTAAATTACCAAATTGTATATGAGTTTGAGTTCTCAAAGCGGTCACGAACTGGTTCCTGATTTTCATGAACTCATTGATGTTTCTGTGAATGATTTTTTGTAATTTGGGATCTGATTACCGAATCATTTTAGATATTCAGTTTAAGATTGACAAGAAATCGATAAAAACATTTCCTTTCTTGTATATATCTGAAGGGTTCTTCTCAGATACAGAGTTACAGGTACGTACTCATGAAAGATATTTTGGATGGTATGGAATTTTTTGAATTGATTTGAATGATTCTCTTCAATAAACATTTAGTTTGTGCCTTCTCAATAACAGATTTCCCAACAAATTAATTGAAAAATTGTCATTCAATATTTTGTTGGATCACCTCTTGCCCGCAATAAGACTGCTGCTCTTCTTGGCATGCTTTTAACCAAATAATTCAAATTATCCACATTACCCTCCCTTTCTTTCAACTTCAATTTCATTCAATTTCACACATGTTCAATAGGATTCTTATCTGGAGACAGAGTAGGCCAAACCATTCGCTCAATATTGTGCTCCCTTAGAAATTCGGTAATAATACGTGGTTTTTCATTGTGAAAAGGAGATTAGTCAAAAGAAGGCAGGGGTCATTGGAGTGAATAGACCATCAATTTCACCAATACTCAAATCAAAATATAATTTATTGTCAGGAGATATCGATCTTATCGTCAAAGTTAAGATAACGTCACCTCCATGTGAACAATATGTACCATTCTTTCAAGAGGAAAGGAGCCGTAGGGTACCTACTTATTCAAAGGTGACGGGTAACTCAAATCAAAATAAGTAAATGGTAGTAGTGTAGTAGTTGTAGCAATCGATCATGTGGCGAATATCGTGCAGATGTCTATGAATAATCTCATTAGGTGATGATTTTTCCTTTTTATTCCAATTCCATTTCTACGAAATGATGTGCTTGTATGAATTATTGCTGGCATATATAATTTTCAATATGTCTCGACGTTGGTTCCTGTAGCTAGTCCACTACCACAAAATATAACAGGGGGTTTATTCTCGAGCGTTATTCGTTCTTTCATTTCACTTCAACAAACGTCACATACGTAAGTGCATCTATCTTTATTCGCTTACGAATGGAATTCGAACTGTTCCATAATTGACCCTCAAAAATAAAGTATTCAACAGATTCAAGTGGACCACAGTTCCTCCTCTTGCAGACTGTTTACTACTTGTTATCAAAATAGAGGTACTGAAACTCGGGATAACTGAATTGAATTAGAAATATTGAAAACGTGTTACAAACAAGAATAATTATTACTCTTCACTTTTCCATAACCAATTCAACATACAAATTATATTGAGTATATTGTTACGAGGCTACCTTCTGCGAAGTAGACGAAAGAGATATTCGAAGATTTGGCGAAGTGTCGCGAAAGGTTATGTCAATACATACTAGAAATGACTTTGGTCAGATATGGATATCGGCAGGTAGCCCGACAGTATTAGTATTAGTGAGAGAGAATAGCGAGAGAAATTGATGAATTATTATTTAAAGTATATTTCTAGTAAAAGAGGTGATTATTGTGATATTGTAGATTGTAGTGTTTGTATTCGAATATATCATTTTTTTGTTACTGAGTGTTTGTGAAAGAGCGAACCCGGACGTTTATCGTAACAATATGAACTATTATTGGATCTTCTTCTTTATCTTCTATACTCGGCGTGATTCATACCTTATTGTTCTTATTATCTACAAAAATCTTGAGAATCTTCAAGAAACGAATTCACAGGCACAGGAATCGTAAGATTGTTAATAAGTACTAAATTTGTTGATGGTCGGTGGTGGTGGTTTCCAAATCCCATTTGCCGATTATATTCTTCCGGATCTTTGTGCTCAAATGATTCTCACTGGTTTTATGAACAACTATGGAACGTGTGATATATTTTATTGGTCAATTTGGATAACATTACACGTTTCATAGCTATCACCGCCAAATCCGAAACCGACCAGCATTGCTACTGACGAGTTACAATGCAATGATGAATTCGAAGACATTTCTTTGAATCTGTAGTTGAAAACACATTTTACATTCACAGTAGAGGCCAAATGAAACGAAATAAGATGTATGATGAGTCATGTTGTAAGACCTTACGTCTCCAGTAGCGCGATCTAAAAAATAACCTTTATACTTTCAACAACGTATATTTCATTCCTCTGAAAATGGTCATTCTGAACTTTGGAAAGACTGGAAATTACCTCAATATGAATTCGAATTCCATGTTAGATGATATACATATATACATATATTGATTGGCTTATCATTTTTTTCACCTCTTGGGGCGCACGAAAGGAAATCTCTATAATGTTCGGAGAACATCGTGCGTACTTATAGGAAGGATAGGTATTGGCATTTTTTTGAATTTTTGGGGATTATGAGTCCTTGGGAATACTTTCTTGGCACAGAAATCAGAAGCTTTGCCGATCTATACACAAACGAGTTCTGGTTAAGGTTTGTTCGACATATCTCAAGGTTGACGATGAGCAGATTTGTGCTGACTGGGCTTGCAGAGTTCGTCTGACTGGTATTGCTAATCAATTGATGAAATGGTAGCAGATATTTCTGAAGAACATTTTCCGTGGAAGTATCTTTAGAAAAGTGAAAGGTCGCCGACTTTTCTACGGTATTCCGAATGATGTCAAAGAGTTAGTGAGTGTGATATCACCCACCAGGCGAATGGCCCTTTTCTTCGAAAATCATTCAAAAAATATCATCGAAAGCTTTCTTACCTTAAAAACAGCAGACTCCATTTTATCGAGAAGTCGAGGATTCTGACTTCACAGTATGAAATCACGACTCTGAAGTCAAAATTTCGAGTTCAAACCCTGACAATTAAATCTATTTCAACTCAGCATATCATATACAATGCATCAGTACATCAGTATTCCAGATTCTGAGTTTCCATTATGAGGATGAGGGTAACCATTTTTAGATTTTTTTTTTATTATTATGAACTTCAGCATTTACTCATGAACATGATAACGTTTGAAGTCCATGAATGATTATTTGCATTTTTCCCATCAATTTTCTCATCAAATATTCCATTGCATTCGGTGTATTGATTTAAAAATTGTATTTTCTTCTTCAGGTCCACCTCAAAGTAAAATCGAAAAACAGAGGCACGATGGTTGGTTCAATAACTTAGCACATCCTGAGTGGGGTTCTGTTGGTGAGTATGCATCATTTTATGGTATTCTCGAACACTGGCTCGGAACTCTATGCACAAATCATATTCATAGCAGCTCATTAGAATTCACAGATAATATACGAATAATGATCATGAAGATTTCAGAATAGCTCCAATAAAAATATATGTATATCACTTTTTTCCTTCAGCTTTAGGTAGGTACGTTAGATTAGTTTATGCATCGGTATTTTCCAAATAAATGATATCTATTACTGAGGTACGATGTGTCATTATGTTATGGCCATCACTCAAGAAGTTGAAAATTGTGATAAAGTACCAGAGTACTAGAGACGAGTGATGCATCTGAGGGGTATATATGGAAGAGCGAAATTCTTACTATAGTTACTTTATCTACAACTATCACGGGAAATCGAACGGTTATTATACTAGGTATTACTGCAAAGTATGATACATATTTCACGAGTCTTAAATAATGATGGATGGTCGAGAAAAAAGTTAAGAATACTTCAGCAAAGTGATGACCAAATCAGAAAAGATTCACTATGTCAACAGGAAGGCTTTATATTTTATTTGTTATTGTCATAGCTTTAGATCCACTTCCACAAATACCTAAATGGAAGAGAGTTTCTCCTCAGGACCAATCATAAGAATTTGAAGTGGCTACCTGAAATTCTTGCTAAAGAAGGTGATATAGAAGATTTTTCAGGTCACCTACACATTAACGCGAATGCTTTGTTCAGAAGACACTACTCGAATGAGAACTGAAAGTCGAAAAGGAATTTATATATATATTGCTGAACAATTGAGAATTCACTGATGATGAATAAATAGCAGATTTGAAACAAGATGGAGAAGATGATCCAAATATTGCAGTCTCTCTGAGTTGGAAGGATGAAGGAATATATAGAACCACTTGAAAATATATATCTCATCGAGTGGGGGCATCTCGCTATGCCCAACTTTCATTGTGCCCAATTTTCATGATACCCAATTTCTGCCCACCCTGCTGATATCGATGACTACGAAGGTTAGGCTAGGTAACGCTAGTTTAGAAAAATGGGTATGATGATAATCTTTGGTAGGTGGACATGGTGAGAATCGGGCTTCGTAAGAATTGAGTATAGTGAAAATCTATGAAGAGTGGTCATGTTGAGAATCTGCGGCAGTTGAACATGGTAAGAATTGGGCATGGTGAAACTCTATGAAAAGTGGCCATGGTAAGAGTATATGAAAAGTGGACATGGTGAGAACTGGGTATCGTGAGATTTGTGCAAAGTGCTACGCACCCAATCGAGTGGAGATTTTACAGGAAAGGTGGGAACAATTGAACTTTCTATCTGCTAGGAACTATACTTAAGAAAATGGATCTACAATAGCGTCAGCATGTTTTTGAGGTTTGGACTTTCAGAGGAGTTGATTTGTTCTAAACTTGAACAAACATGTGAGTCGAATTTATTCAAGACAGTATGTGAGCCAATTTGACATTCTAAATCCTTCGATATACCTATCGTCGCATAACGCAACGACTGCAAATGAAAGTACGATGCGATAAAAAAAATACTTCGATGATCATCAATACACTTGTCTGAATATGCAAAAAAAATTAGGGATGTCATAGTTCACAAACATGTACAACATATAATTCTCGCATAATTCTCGCCAGATGAATCGAGGTTCGCAAAATTGTTAAAATTATTTCTATTGCAGGAAGTTCAGATTATATGTCTAGATCAAGCATGTTTACAGGAATTAAAAAAAATCCAGTCCTCGCATATAGCGTCGACCTGAAATTTGGGTACAAGTCCTATGAAGATGCTTTTATCGGACTCATTACCAGCTACTATTCATATATTATTATGAATGTTGGCTATATTTGGGATCTTCCAACGGTTTGTCAGTAGGCTAAGCTCCAGATATACGTGAAAGACTAAACTTTAGCACAAATAAACTTTATTATATTGAAAATTACAAAATATATTCCGACGAGATTCAAAATTAAACGATATTGTCACTCTGACAAGAAACAACTGCCATCCCTCAAACCCATAACAACCCTCCTATTCTATACATGGCTATACAGGGTAATATTGGCAAATAAATATATAACATTCGACCATCCTGAGACATGTTTGTCCTCAAACATAGTCCTGAAATCTTGAAGGTCTTCTGATCTTCCTTCGAGGTCTATTGATCATTCCACCTCCTGTAGAATCACCTTCTTCGCTGGCTGACTCCTCTACTTTCCAACTCTCCTGACTCATACTTGATGAATCTGAAGTTTGGCCATCTTCTATCTCATTCTCATGTTCAACTTCTGGAACCCGAAAATTGGTTTCCTCTATTGTGTCATTCATGTCATTTGTTCCTCCATCCATTTCATCCTCTTCATGGTTTCTATAAATTTTCAATTGTGAAACATGGGCAACTGTCGTTTTACTCGACCCAATTCCTTCATCCAGCTTTTCCAATCTGTAGGTATTACCATGAAGTTTTTCTATTATCACATAGGGTCCCCGATATTTCAATTGTGTTTTGGTCGGTTCACCTGTAGCTATTTTAGAAGTATTTCTTTTCACTACTATATCCCCAATTTCATATTCTATACCTTCATATTTTTTCTTGTCATAAAACTGTTTATACTTGATCTGTGCTTTTTCTACATTTTCACACACTTTTTTCCTGATTTCTTGACGATCCTCCTGCTTCTCACCTCTTTCCGCAAAATTTTCCATCTTTGCATTTTCGAAGCTAGGGGTATAACCATATAAACATTCGAAAGGAGAATATCCCGTAGTCTTGTTCACTGCAGCGTTGATTTTCCTTTCAACTACATGAATATTTTTGAACCAGTTTTCATCTTGAAAATCCACAGAAGTAACAATTATTGGTATAATTGACTTCATTTTTATTTCAGCCATTCCATTGGCTTGTGGAAACTGAGCAGCGATCAACTTGTGCTCGATGTCGTAATTCTTGCAGAAGTCTCTGAATTCTCCACTTGTAAACGCCGTCCCTCTATCGCTTACCAAAATCTTTGGTGTGCTAAACTGATTAACAAAGATTTCCATTTTCGATACTGCTTCTTTTGCCGACGTGATCCTTGAAGGAAATAACTGCACAAACCTCGAGAATGCATCCACAATCACTAAAATATACATTTTTCCACCATGACTCTTTGGAAATGGACCTAAATGATCGATATGAATCTTTTGCATAGGTCGTTCAGGCATTTTTGGTGGATGAAGTCTCCCAGGTCTCTTACCACCAGGTACTTTTTCTAACAAGCATTCAAAACATCCCTGAATATGCTTCTTGACATATCTCCTCATACCACGAAACCAAAACCTTTTCAAGATACTTGCCACTGTTTTATCTACCGACCAGTGACCCATCTGATCATGATATTTAATCACCGTAGCCTTTCTCATAGAATCGGGTATGACGTAGAGCCATTTGTTTTCCTTATTTACTTTCGTTAATTTGTACAAACGATAGTTATCAAGTAAATAGTCTTTCGAACGGTTTTTTTCCTCCTTTGTCCTTTCAGTATCTTCTTTGCCCAAAATATCTGCAATCTCTTTCAATTTCGAATCATTTTTCTGAATTATCAAGATTCTTTCTTCTTCTGTCATTATTACAAACATGTCCAATCATTTATCATATACGTCTTCTATCATTCCTTCTTCCGTAGGCTCCTCAACTGCAGCTCTGCTCAAACTATCCACATGTGCCATCTTATCACCGTTACGATGTTTAATTTCAAAATTGTATTCACTCAGTGTTGTATACCAACGTGCTATCTGTGGATTGACTGTCCGTTTGGCATTGAGATACACCAAAGCCTGACAATCACTGATTATCGTGAATTTTATTCCTAAAAGCATTGATCTCAGTCTTTCCACACACCAAACAATTGCTAATAGTTCTAATTTCGAAGAATGATAAAACTTTTCCGCTTCACTCGTCTTCTTGGAGACACAATAAACAAGATGCATTCTTTTCCCAGATCCTTCTTGTAATAACATTCCTGCTACGCCTAAACTAGATGCATCGCAGTGTAATTCAGTGTTTTCAGATTTCGGATTGAACAACTGCAAAATTGGAGATTTTTGTAAAATACCTTTCATTTTCTCGAACGCTTCTTGATGCTCCTTTGTCCAGTGAAACATTTCATTTGCTTTAGTCAAATCAGAAATTGGTCGAGAAATTGATGCATAATCTTTAACGAACCTCCTGAAAAATCCTGTCAATCCCAAAAATCTTCTGACTTCACGCTTATTTCTGGGTGTTGAAAATTTCTCTATGGCTTCCAACTTACCAGCTCCGGGTTGTAGTCCATCTGCACTCAATCTGAAGCCCAAAAATTTCACACATTTCTTACCAAACTCACATTTACTCAATCGGAAAGTTAGTTTAGCATCCTTGACTGCCTTGAACACTTGTCGAAGTCTGTTCAAGAAACTGCAATTGTATTCCTCAGTGGACCCAAAACTAATTCACAAGTCCAAAACATAACCTTTGAAATTCCGCTGTACCATCCGGTGTGATGAATGCAGTTTTCGCCTTCGATTCATCGTCCAAAGGAATCTGTAAATATCCAGACATCAAGTCTAAGGTACAAAATAGTTTACACCCCGTGAGTATTTGAAAACAATCGTCTATATGGGGAATAGGAAAATTTTTAATAACCGTTTGATTGTTCAATTTTCGAAAGTCCACAACAAGTCTTTTTTCCCCCGAACTTTTCGGAACTAAAAGAACTGGTGATGCGTAAGACGAGGTAGTGTCTCTGATGATCCCGCAATCGCGCCACTCATCAACAATGTCTTTTATTACTTTGCGATCCTCAAAATTACAGCGATAAGGTTTTGCCCTAACTGGTTGATTATTGTCCGAAATATTCACTTTCATAATATCAGTGCAACCAAGTTCATGAATGTTGAGTGCAAAACAATCTCTAAATTCATTTATAAGGTCCAACAGTCTGTAAGAATCGCAAGGCACAACAGAGTCATCAATGT